CTCTGCCTCTGCCTCTGCCTCTGCCTCTGCCTCTGTCTCTGGCTCAGCCTCTGCGTCTGCCTCTACGTTGACCAGAAGACGCGTCGGCTTGCTTTTCGGTTCCGCCAAAGCCTCACGCGCCATCTATCTACTATCTAACTGTTATTAAGAGTCATCGGCTAATAGACGCTATAGCTACTGTGCTTAATGCTGTCCACGTGATGTACGCGTCAACTGCGCTGAGTAAATCTCAAATCTCCTACACTCTGCCTTCAGGGGAGGTTCTCTCATGTTTTTTTCCCAGCCGTTTTCATATTTTCTCGACCGTTCAAATACTTATCGGTACTCCTAGCGTAACACCAAGTAAGGCGAACATGTCATTAAACACTCGCTCGTCGTTCTTTTCACCAATGTGTGCACCGGTCTGCAATTCAAATTTGATTTGTTTACATATGGCAACAAAACTTGCGCGTGATTTTCGTATTCGCGAGACGCCATCGACCGGTACCCTGTCTCTACACCATATTATCTTCATCTGTATGTTGAGATAGGACATCAGTTTAGAAAAGGTGGCATCACATGACTACATGCACTTGTTTTGCGAAAGCGTTTGAAAATTTAGTTATTGCGAATCTCAAAATAGCAGGCGCACATTTGCTGTGTTTTTTTTACCGTTTTATAGCCTATAACATCACAAACTCGTAATAATTATTATGCTGAAATAATCAGTAATATCTACGCTGACAGGTGAGACATAAATTTGTCTACATTTAATAATTCCTGTAATTTTCTCTGATTTTGTTGAGAAGATGATCAATTTAATCTATCAGCGTAATTGTCAACGCGCCCTCTGTATTACCCTGAATTATATATATATATATATAATATAGATTTTTTTCAAACGTGGTAATCAGTTACGCAATGGAGCTTGATGAATATAGCAAGAGAAGCGTAGCTGTGCCAAATAATCCACTATACTCTATGCGTAGATACATCAACTTACTAATGATCTTACTTGTGATCCCACTATGAATCTAATTAAAATGCTAAAATCTAAGAGCCAACTGAAATTATCCTCCAAATCAATTTGAACGAAAGAACGCAAGCAAATAAGACACTGCTCTCCGCGCGGGCGAATATAACTGGAAGCCATATCGGATTATAGTTTTCGTTTACTCTCCGTCTCGCACAACACGAGGTCTTTCTTTTTATCCCGTCGCTGCGTCCATGATCAAAGTGAGCACGCAGGGGTAGGTTCTGACAGGATTAGCTTATTCAAACACTTGCTGAAGCGAAAGCTGCACTTCAGACGCGCCTAAACGCGGCAGATGTGCGGAAGACCGACCGTCTGATTTTCTTTCCTACCTTGTTACTATAACGATTTACTCGTGCGTGAGATCCATTCAATCTAACTCGTCGGTTCGACATGTAATGTGGCCGAGCATGCACTAGGTGTCTATAGTCACCCACCTGCCTGGAATGTGTCGCCTGGAATGCATCAATCTACTGCAGACCAAATCTACCGCTATTCAACTAAAGACGCCTTGTGTTTTCGTAATTTGCGTCGTATAGTTCTGCACACTCGGGTCGTACGTGTCGGATGGTGATCTAAACTCAGTGGCGGATTATCTAACTAACAACAGTAGCATATGCTACAGGCCCCGCAATAGCTTAATCCGGCCCTGTCTAACATCTCAGTAATCATGTCAAAGATACGCGGTTTGCATATATGTATAAAAATAGAAATGACTCTATTAGTAATTTAGACTCTATTAGAAATGACTCTATTAGTAACCCCCTAAACGTTATGAGGTGTTTTACTGACTGCAATCAGCTGCACCCCGCAGTCAGATCGTTGCGCGTGTATTGCACTGTGAGAAATTGATCGGAGAGATTTTTCAAGAATTCTATTATTCCCGCCCCCTTATCGTTTCGATGTCTAATCTTTATATGATAAGCTAGTTCGCCGGCAAAATGGATTCCCCACTGCTGTAGCTGATTCCATAATCGCGTTACAGCTTTTGACAATTCCCATGGCTTATGGTGCGGCTAGTAGAACTAGAATTGAACTAGAACTGAATCACCACAAAATGTCAGTACTTGAAAAAAATTACTTGATTTCGTACAGTCGACTATATACCATGTGCGTCGCAGTTTCATGCGAACTTTAGACAAGCTGTCTCGTATTGCCATCTTACATTTCGAAGGGGGAAGGAGAGATCGTAAGTAATGTAATAGTTGTCATAGTTTCTAACTTGATACGCGTGACATCACAAATGCTCGTCCATGATCGAATGTTGTCGGCAGACGATCATATTCGTTTGAATCGATGCTGTCACACCGATCGATCACAGCTATGTTTACTGAGTACGAGCACGACGGAATATCGTCGATGTCCTGCTGCTGATACACACACACTCCATTTTCACATCATTAACGCGATTAGCGACGCCCATGTGGCGCCACGCGCGTATTTTCTTACTGGACTGCTGTGGCGCCCTCTCGTGTTAAACGGCGCATGTGCGCTTCGTTATTCGGTAGGTGTCGCTTTATTTTACATCTGCTTCGCCTCACCGCTTACGCTGCTAAAAAACATACCCCGGAAATATAGCGCAAACTATGAAGGGTAGTATAAACAGCATAACAGGTAACGGA